CTCTCACTTTTGAGCCAAAGTTACTTTTCCTCAACAAAAAAAAGGAAAAATTCCAGTAAAAAGTAGAAAGGTCAGATCCAGTCAAAGCAGTTCAAAGTATGTAGGTAAAATGTTTTTTCATTGAAACATGGATATAATGTAGGGAAGGTGGTTCCAACTGTAATGTTTCACAATTCTGCATAGCCAATATTAAAAATACACACAAAATAAAAAAATATATAAATAGTATTGTTGCTTTGAATAAATTTGCTTTGGTTTGCTAAACCGAATCTCAACAATAAGTTTTCTGATTTACATATATATTTTGTACTTGCAGTTAACAATAATTCATAATGTCCCTTGAGAAAAAAGCGAAAAATTGACTCTGAATGTCATGTCTTAAAAGAATATTGGAGAGTGTTGAATATTTTGTAAATGAAAGAAACAACAAAGTATTGTGCACAATATGCTGTGAGACCAATGCATTGCTAAATGTAGAAGAATATGTGCAGACATTGCCAACCGAAGCATTCTTCTAACTCTTCTTATCTAACAAGAAAAGTATGTCATAAGAAATATGAAGCCTTAGAACCGAGTATTTTATCACAGCAGTTTTTCATAAGTATAAATGCTAACAGCAAAGTGGCAATTAAAGCTTGTTTGCATGTAGATTATTTGTTATCTAAGACAAAACAAAAAGGATTAAAGAATATGAGTCTTAGAGAATATGAGAAAAAAAGGGTGGGGTTTCTTTTGTGGTTCTCTTCCTCTTAAATGACCAAGTTCCATCTACCCAGGTTTGGGAATTCAGAGTTTTCCTTCTACACTGGTTGTTGACCGAGACTGAAGAACCTAATCTTTACTTTTTTTTTTAAATAATTTCACCCGAAGCAAGGTATTAAAGCCACTAAGACACAAGGGGTTACTGAGTGAGAAAGAATAAAAGAAACAGAAAACTTTATTAAGGGGACAGAACAATAAAAGAATGATGGTTATGAATATAAATGATAATGATTGATATTGCACTCAAAATTTTTGAAGATGAAAGTTGACAGGGAAGCAAGATGCTAGAAAGAGAGATCCTCAAGCAAGAAGTCGATAGAAGAAACTGTTAGCATAGAACTTGCAGTTACATCTAGTTATTTTGACTATAAAATGTTGAGAACTTTCCGCCAATCTAGTATTGTGCTTAAATTCATAGAATCTAGTTACCATAAAAAGAAGTCCATCAGAAAAAATGCCATGAAATTATTTGTAGAAAAGGCACAGGGAAACTACATTATGGCAATGGAAAGTGATTGAAGCTGAGATTCTATATGAAGACTATTAACATTGCAGATTCTTGTTTTGATTTTATCAAAATTCTCTAAATACTAGAATACTAGATCCATATTCAAATCAAGGACAAATGGTAGACTTATAAATATGTAAGGTAGATTCTGGCAAGAAAAGTTGTCTAGCTCGACACAGGGAATCAATTTTCGTAGCTTCAGAGCTAGCAATTAATTCCATATAATCTTTCCACTTCATATCAACAGAAAATGTTAATCTGAGAAAGTGCAATAAGCCACTCTACTGAAGGTTAGTATCAGCCATGCTGAAGTTACAGAGTGTTCTCTCTCAGATGATTAAAAGAGAGCAGTTTCATTTTGGAGGTATTCAAATTTACAGGCCATTTCTTGCTCTGTTTAATAATTAAAATTACTAATTTAAATACATTTAAAAATGTATTAAGTTAAGTAAGTATGTTCAAAGAAATGAAACAAAGAATTCTGAAATTTGAAGGAATGATAAGGAGAACAAAGTGTAAGTAAATAGACCATTGTCTCCCTACAACTGATATCAAGTCTTTCAAAGTGTCTAGAGTTTATGTGTTTGCATGTGTGTGGCAAAAGAAAGGCAAAAGCTAGTTACCAAATTGATTACCTACCTTAGGGCTAATCACATTCACCATGCAGAAGTCCAAATGGAAGGGTATTTATCCACAAACCTACTTGAGCACAATATTATGCAAAGTTGAGTTTAACGTTGAATGGGCACCCATTTTGAATGAGAACAAAAATCACTAATGTATTGGAATTTAGAATAGTCAATTCAAAGAATAAGATTAATGAAGCACAGAATAAAATGTGGACACTGAATGGCTTAAGAAATTAGCAATCTCTGCTTCCCATAAAGATCACACGACCCTGGCTATATAACCATCAAATTCAAAGATTCATTATCTTTAGCTTCCATTTGTGGTGATAAATTCTCAAGAACAAAAAAATGTATAAATTCACTTTCATCATATGTTTAGGTTTTATTACAATTCTAATCATTGCTTTTTTAAAGCAATAACCATTGCTGTGGAGTGAAGGTAATTATAAAATAATAGCGGTGTCAAGGAAAAACCATTCTTTTGACACTCCATCTTATTGCAAGCATGAAGGTCCCTGTTTGCCTTTTCTTCTTCTTGCATGGTTGCTGCTTAAAGCAAGAGAGTCCGGATTGCTCTGCTGTTTAATTAAACCCATAGCTGAAGGAAGACAGATGGATGCATTTTCCAAGAGAATTAGCACAAAGTCAATGCAACAGGCTCTGTCAGAATTTGAACTCCATTCTTCATTGATATATGCACATCCTCTAGGAATAATTACCATTAAATATGATGGGCTTTGAAAAAATTCCTCTGCCAAAACTATAATTGCTTTTGGTTATCTGTCTCCTGAAGCAGAATAGGTATTGTATTGATAGCAAGTTGAATTGCAGGCAAAGTAATCCTGATGGCATCGACCATTCTGTCAAATCTTTGGACCTACTTTGTTCTTAATTTTCAATAGTGACCTCCTTGATGGCATCAGTTCTCATCTCGGTATCAATGCTGATGGCACAATTATTTACTTGTGTCTCGATAGTAAGTCTCAAAAATAACCTACAAGTTGTTAACTGGGGCAAGGAATAGCTTGTTAATTTTAATGCCTCCAAAACAAAACTGCTCTCTATTAATCATCTGAGAGACCTCTTTTATCTTACATCAGCATGGCTAATGCTAACCTAGATTGTGATTTGTTGTACCTTCTCAGGTTAATATTCTTGGCTGACATGAAGTGGAAAGATTATATTGAATCCATTGTTAGGTCAACTGTTAAGAAAGTTGGTTCACTATGCTAGACAGTTTTTCTCTCCTTACTCTATCTTACATATTTATAAGTCTACCATTTGTCCATGCTTTGAATATTGCTGCTTTGTGGCTTCCCTCTGTCTTTTCTACAAGTACTTTCATGGCAACTGCTCCGACAAGCTACTTTCACTGGTTCCCAAACCGCATGAATTTAAGCATGCTGCTAGGTTCACATCTCGGTCCCACCTTTCACTGTTAAAATGGCTAAATGTAGCCATCTCTTCTACTCCAACAGCTTCTTATCTTGCACCTCCTGTCAGTGGAACTCCCTTCCTATCACTTGCTTCCCTGATAGCTATAATCTTCAAATATTCAAATGTAATGTCACTCAACATCTTCTGATGCCTTAGAATAGAAAGAAAAGAACAAAGGAAGGAAGGAAAGCAACAAAGAAACAAAAAAAAGGAAAGAATGAAGATCAGTTTGATTCACAATAAAACAGTGTAGGAATTTTTCCCTGTTGTACATATGTGGCAGGGTGCTTGGCAATGTATAGTGTGGAATGAACAAACCCGAGGCTTGAAATAACTGTTTAACAGCTTTTATTTGTGGTTGAAAAGAGAGTACAAAATAGTGTTACTTTACAGGAAAAAGAGTTGGGTTTCCCAGTTAACAAAGGTCTTCCCTTGAGTAGATATTTCATAGAGAGAGATTTCTCCACTTGTTCCCATGAGGAATGAGAAATCTAAGTGTCAAACTGCTAGGACTGGTACATGTCTTCTGCAGCAAGGGTTGTGAGTGGTTTCTTATTTGGGTGGGTGTCTCGAAGGGAGATTTCTCATTCCTCGTGGGAACAAGCTGAGAAATCTCCCTTCAAGACATTTACACAAATGACTACCCCTAACCTTTGCTGCAGAAGACACATAGTGAGATTTCTCAGCTTGTTACAATGTGGAATGAGAAATCTCAGGTCTAGCTGCCAGGGTAGGCGTCTTGAAGGGAGATTTTTCTGCTTGTTCCCACAAGGAATGAGAAATTTTGAGTCAAGCTGCCAGGACAGGGCATGGTCCTTCTGCAGCAAGAATTGTGAGTAATCCTTTGACCTTGGCTTTGAAGGTAACAGTTGCTGAAAAGGAAAAGTGGTAAAAGGCCAAATAGGTCTCGGTCAGTGTTTTTATGAGTTCTAGGACTTCTGGTTGTTCTCTACTGATAACTTCTGTTGCTGCTACTGCTGAATCAAGCAAAGTAAGGAAGACCATACATGCCACAATAACCAACAAGTGAGATAGTTATTATAATAGAAGGGAAAACAAAAATGTTAGAAAAGCTTTCTTTATTTATTTCAGTACTTCTCTTTCTTTGGTTTTCTAATCAATCTGTCTTTCTTTTATCTTATTTTTTTCCTTTCCAATAATACTGTTTAAGTTAGCAACCAAGAGTTGCTTCCCCCTGGCATGTATAATTCATGGTTCTTTTGAACTCACGGTTCTTTTTAAAAATCAGTTATAAACTGTCATTGAGTGAGTAAGAAGTTTTCCCATCGTTTCATTTTGTGAGACACTTCCCATTTTAAGTAATGGCTTTAGTGTGCAACTGCTATCAATGATCTTCTTTGTAAGCCATTGACAAAACACTCCATTTTAGTGGCCTTGTGTCAGAGTAAGCTAAGCTTAATAAACAACAACAGTGTACTTTTTCTTATTTTCTTCCAGTCTATACATTTCTGCTATTTTTTCTTTTTTTATTTGTCTTTAATTTCAACAATGTTGTTTCCATTTTTTACATTTACACTAAATCTTTTCTTTTTTTCTTTTCTTTTACTGATTTCATATCTGAATAAAATATGTTTTTCCTTCTTCTTTATTGCCTTTTAATATCAATATTTCTTTCTCTTTTTGTTAATTCTTTCTTTCTTTAGTCTTTTCTCTTTCCTTGGATTAATGTCAGCCTCTTTCTTTCAGAACTACTCTTTTTTTGATTTTTTAATCATTCTGTCTTTCTTTTTATTTTTCCTTTCCAATAAGATTGTTAATTTTTTTATTTTTCTCTTTCCAGAATAGCTTTTTTTGAGTTTTCTAACAATTCCTTTGCTTTCTCTTCTTTTTTATTGTGAATCGACTTGTCTTCATTCTTTCATTCTTTCTTTCTTTCTTTCTTTCTTTCTTTTTCTTTCATTCCTTCCTCCATTCTTTTCTTTTTATCTCTTTTTTCTGTTTTTCTTTCTTTCTTTCCTTCCTTCCATTTTCTTTCTTTCTTTCTTTCCTTATTCTTTCCTACTTTCCTTCTTTTCTTTTCTTTTCTTTCTTTTTTCTTTCTTTCTTTTCTCCTTTCCTTCCTTTTTTCTTTCCTTCCTCCCATCCTTTTTCTTTCTTTCCTTCTATGCTTCCTTTTTCTTTCTTTCTTTCTTTCTTTCTTTCTTTCTTTCTTTCTTTCTTTCTTTCTTTCTTCTCTTTTTCTATTTCTTTCTGTTGTTTTTCTCATATTTTCTTTTCTTTTTTTCTTTCATTCTATTTTTCTTTCTTTTTTTTCTTTCCTTCTTTTGTACTTTTCTTATTTTTTTTTGTTCTTGCCTTTTTCTTATCTTTCCTTTCTTTTTTTTAATCCATTTTCTTTCGTACCATTTTATTTTACTTTCTCTCTCACTTTCTTTCTTTCCTTCTTTCTTTCTTTCTTTATTCTTTTTTTCTTTCTTCTTTCTTTTGTTGTTTTCTTACTTTTTCTTTCTTTCTTTCTTTCTTTCTTTCTTTCTTTCTTCTCTTTTTCTATTTCTTTCTGTTGTTTTTCTCATATTTTCTTTCTTTTTTCTTTCATTCTATTTACTTTCTTTCTTTTTTCTTTCCTTCTTTTGTACTTTTCTTATTTTTTTTGTTCTTGCCTTTTTTCTTATCTTTCCTTTCTTTTTTTTAATCCATTTTCTTTCGTACCATTTTATTTTACTTTCTCTCTCACTTTCTTTCTTTCCTTCTTTCTTTCTTTCTTTATTCTTTTTTTCTTTCTTCTTTCTTTTGTTGTTTTCTTACTTTTTCTTTCTTTCTTTCTTTCTTTCTTTCTTTCTTTCTTTCTTTCAGGTCACACTATTTGTTTGACACATTAACAAACCAAGTATGAATCTTATTAAAAGTTTGTTTCTTTTAGTTTTAAATATATAGGAAGTATGATTTCCTAGGAGAAAAAAAATTGTCTTTTTTCTCTTTTCTTTTTTACATACAATTATGTTAAAGAGTAATATAAAAAAATAAGAAATATTTTATGCTATAAGATTCTTTAACTAGATATTCATTGCTCACGTAATTCAAGATCAATCATAATCTTAAAAAAATAAACAGGGACAGAGAGATTTTCATTTTCGTCTAATGCCAGTAAATAACGGAAGAGTCAAGAACATCTGTCAGTGTTTAAGAGAGACTATCTAGAAAGAACAACAAACAAACACAAAAAAAAAAGAAAAAATTAACAAGCATTCATTTTCATAAGAGGGTCCCCCAAAACATCTGTCGGGCCAAGGATAGAACACCCTGATACTTCTTTCTAGGGTTATTCAAAATAACTGTGGCAAAACGAGCCATTTTAGCAGACATATACAGAATAGACGTGTGAATGTTTCATTGTCTGGAAATATGTTCCAGCAAAGAAAGAGGGTTTTTTCATGAGTCATGAAAAATCCCACCCATGTTCTATGGCCCCTGCCAGATTTCTGATAAGTAACTAGTAGTCCAAATATGATTACTATTCATATAATAATACGTATTTATATTTTGCCTGTTGTAATATTTATATGGTGTTAACACAATTATATTATTCATTAATTTGTATCTCTGTCATTCAATTGCTACTGTGAATTCAGCAATTGATGCCCCAGTTCAAAAGTGACTTAATATTCAATTACTAATTAGGCATATTTTACCAGTATTCTATCAGTAATGGTTGGGTTAATTCCTGACCACTGACAATCCCTTTTGCCTCATTTGCAATGCATTTCTATGGTAAATATTTATATGCTCGTGTACCCATGCCATCAAAATTGACGACAAGAAGGAATTTATTATAAGTAACATGCATTATATTGTAAGTAATTTTTGTTTAATTGAAGTACAATTTTTTTTCTATGTAACAATTTCAGGGTAGTGTGCAAAATAATGATACCTGACCAAATTCAACTTATATTTGTTTTTGAAAAGAAAAAAAAGTTAAATAAAAATTATGAGAGACAGACATGAGTTACAGTCAACATTAGTCATGTTGAATATTTGACAAATTTAAATTTGACGAATTTAACTGTATTTTATTTCCTCTTTAGGGAGAATTAGAAATAAATAAATATAATTTATGTACATATGTGAGAAACAGTAAAATGTTATTATATGTTTCTTTTCTCTTTTCAAAAACAAATATAACTTGAATTTGGGTAGATGGGTCATCGCTTGTGTGAAAGAGTCACTACGTGTGTGTGTGCTTCTGTTTGGGGCGGTCTCTTTGTAGTTTTCAGCGCGGTAAATTTTTGCATGCAGACATGAATGGGGGTTTGACATCTGTGCATCTCATGCCAAAACTTTGCACACTGCTCCTCAACTGTTACACACACAAAATAATAATTAAATAAGTATATATATATATATATATATATATATATATATATATATATATATATATATATATATATACATATCTCCAAGTATGATGAGAATGAATAGAGTATAATTCCAACATCCATAACATTTAATTTAAAACAGGGATCAATACAAAATAGAGCAATATTATTTATTTTAGGATATTACACTGAAAACATATCAAAATCACTACACAATTTGCAGTCATGTTTCAATGCATATGAATGCATCTCATCAGGTGATTGTAAATTACTGGTGAGTCAATGATTTATTTATATTTAAAACCAAAATACAACCTTTTTATGAAAAAAAGAAAAAGAGGTGGAGGGGTTATAAGGTTTGTGGCATTTACAATGAAAATTGCAATATGAGCTCTGGTAAAAAAATTGCAATAATAACAGGAGTCTTATTATCATCTTTTAAACATAGATTCGGTGGGGTGCGTAAGGGACTCTTGCACCAGCCCTGCCTATATATATACGGTATATGTATTAGAAATAGTTTTATATGCACAAACCCACACAGACACACACATACACACACACACAGACTGACACACACACACAGACACACACACACACACACACATATATATATATATATATATATATATATATATATATATATATATATCCAAATGTAAATGAACAAAAAGAATATAAATTCAAACATTCATAATATTAATTTAAAAAAGTCTAAATACAAGAAATTTATAATAAATATTTATTTATTTATCTATTTATTTTAGGATATTACATAGAACATGTCAAAATTGCTACACATTTGCAGTCATGTTTTGATGTATATCAATACATCTCATCAGTCGATTGTAAATTACTGGTGAGTCAATGATTTATTTAGATTTAAAAGTAAAATACAACCTCTTATTATGAAAAAAAGAAAAAAAAAGGAAAATGGAAAAAAGAATTTTTTCTTTTCTTTTTTCATAAAATGTGGTTATATTTTGCTTTTAATCTAAATTTAAATTCACTTGCCACTAATTTACTATCACCTGATGAGATGCATTGATATACATCGAAACACAACTGCAATTGTGTAGTGATTTTGACATGTTTTTAGTGTAATATCCTAAAATAAATAAATACATGTGTGTGTGTGTGTGTGGCATATTGTATTTAAGGATTATGCACAAGAAGGCCATGAAGTTTCACCTTTCATAATGAATGGTTGTTCTCTCAAGAAGGCTCCATTGTCTTGACTGTCTATTGGGACACAAGCTCTCCCCAGATCTTAAGAGAAACTCATATGTCTGACGTAATACTAAAAATGCTGGCTGGTTCATTTTTACTGCTCCAGTAAGTACCTAACTCCCATTGCTGTACTTTATTTTTTTACAAGAGCCAGTTCAAACCAAAAATGGGGTATTGCTGCCATATCTGGGTTGGAGCTTCCTTTTTGCCTGTTTTGATAGAGTTCAGAAACATCTAAGCAGCCTTGTGGGTGATGAAATATTTTCCTAAGTATTTTCACACAGATGAAACGTTGCGAGGCTCTCACTGCTCTATCGCTATTTCCATGGCGTGTGCTCTGACAATTCTTTAATCCCACAAGCCTTTACAACTGAGAACTTTCATTCCACATAAATGAGGGAGAATCACCTGCATTCCCTTTGTATTCCTATAGTAAGAAGTAAGTTCCATTGAGACAGCTTCTTCCCAAGAACTGCTACTTTGTGCAACAGATTCCCGAAAGGATGTTTTCTTAATCACTATAATCTTGACCTCTTCAAGTCTAGGATTAATCCTTATCTTTCCTGCATAGCTCCATGAACTTCACTTCTTGCGCTTTCTTATGCTCATACAACACCATACAGTAACGCTCTACCTTGAGTGGCTCTTTGGCTTTGTATGGAGGAAATATTAATATATCAAAAAAATTAGCCCTATTCTATCAGTAATGCTTGTATTAATTCCTAATCAATAATAATCCTTTTTCCCCCAATTGTCAATACATAATATGCAATATCTGTCTATATTTCTGAGATGAGGTATTGTAATTATTTACACTATTTACATTGTTCAGACTGTTGCCTCATCTTTATTGTCATATTCATGATGTTTCGGTCATTGTACATTCTGGCCTTCTTCAGGATCTGTCTATATTTCTAAGATGAGGTGTTATAATTATTTACATTGTTTTGAACTGTTGTTCTCATCTTTATTGTTATATTCACACTGTTTCAGCCATTGTAGACTCTGGCCTTCTTCAGGTGATATATGTTGAAATTTTTAACCAAGCCCTTTATTTCATCCACTGGAATAGATTGTTCTAGTTCCACATGCCATGCCTTTTCTGAATGTCTCAGTTTTCAGTTAATTCGCTTTAGTAACTCAACTCTCCAAGTCTTTGTTCACTTCTGCTGTGGCCAAGTATTGAACTCACAACTCTTTGTGTCAAATCAATGGCCCAGTGGATAAAAGTGTTGGTTGAAATAATCCAGTGACTTGACCCAAAGAGTTGTGAGTTCAAAAACTTGGAGATTTGAGTTACTAAAAGGAAATAACTAAAACTGAGATATCCAACACATGGAATGAGAACAATCTATCCTGGTGGATGGAATAAAGGGTTCGGTTTGAAATTCTAACATATATCACCTGAAGAAGGCTGGCGCATACAACAGTGTTCTCACTGTAACTTCTTAAAGTAAAATTTTAAGTAAATGTTTTAAAAATAATGAGCTGAGTCATGTACTCTTTTACCTGACAGTAGAACTAATTTGTTTCTTAGTACAGAAAATGGCTTAAGAGATGCAAGGAAAAAGAGGAGTAAAAATAATGTCAGTGGGAAGTAATTATAAAAGCTCAAATCTAAAACTTTGTCATTGCTATCACATATTCAGTGCATGGTATTCTCAGCATCCTTCAGTAGAACCAAATTTCTGTTGGCTCAAGTTTTCTCTTTTTCTGCGAGGAGATTATCCAGCATTCACTGCCATATAGGTGGACAGATATGACGTAACAGTTCAGTACTCTTTTCTTTGTTTTTAACAAAATTTTTCTTCTTAATACTTTCCTTAGCTTTTGGAAGACATCTTTCTCTATCCCAGTGCACCTTCGGATTTCAATGTCACATTTTCTGTCATCTATTTGAAACACTTCCTAGATATTTAAATATTTGTACTTACTTCGTTTTGGTATTTTCAATTAATTTTGCATCTTGGGCTGTTCCTTTTGCTACAAACATACATTCTGTCTTCTTACAATGGATGCTTAGTCCTTTCTTCTTGCTTTCCTTTGCTACTATCTGTAGGATCTCCTGTAGTTTCCTTTCTGTGTCTACTATCAACACTGTGTGATCTTCATGTCCTGGGGTGTTAAGATTGTCCACCAATTAAAAATCCTGTAATAATTATAGACTTATAAAAATATATTATGATGCTTAACATGTAGCCTTGTATGAGTGACATATGACAGCCATCCTGGCACCAGAAATTAAAAGAAGAAAATGGCTGGCAACCA